AATCCTTCTCGTTTTTATTACATATTTTTGCAGCGCAAGCATGTACAACTAGTAAAGATTGCCCTCTTGGATATTGTGACCAGACCGGACGTTGTGAAATTTGGTAGAAGGTTTCTGTAGTATATTCAACAATGTCGACTTTGAAATAAATGAAACATGTTTTGTGTTGAATTAGAAAAATGTAAAAAATTTGTGTTTTATTTTGAACAATGATGTCGCTGATCAATTTTTTCGAATATTCACTAAGCACATACTATGCAATATTGTTCCACACAAAATACAATTTATGGCTTCGGCCTAACATGTCAGCTTTAATTTCTTTTAACACCTCAGTATCCCTTCGACACATAGGACTGGTTTAAAACTGTGATTCACAGTAACTTCTCGTTGTATGTATATGGAATGTGGATACAGTAGGTTGAATGTGTTTACGGCTTATGTGTTATGTGTTACTATACACAAACCAAAATGAAAAAAAAAATCTCGCGTTGTTCTTCCTTTCTGTAACAATACCCAAAAGTCATAAACAATATGGTTGCATAGGTATTGATTCCAAATGTTTTAACTGTCTTCTTTTACTACTTTTTTAAATGAAAAACTATAGATGAGAAATCACACATACGAAATGCATCCTTTTTGTTTACTATTTCAAAATTACATTGAATAATAACAAAAAATTGCGTTTGAGATTGTGACCGCACTTTTTCGTACTTAGTCTTTGAAGATATGCAGCGCTTTGGACACGATTGTCATAGAAAAATATTCTGTATGAGAAAATACAAATTGCATGTGCGATTCCATTGACATAGAATGCTGCGAATATTATTTATCATTCGTATTTCTCAGAATATTATGCAGTTTGTATTTTCACATCATCTGATAAGCATTCGACCGCTTTTCCAATAATACTAATCTTTGTGTTATCAGTAGACACGTATTGAAAATGAGAAACCACAAATGCAACCAGAAAAAGAGTGTAAAAAGGAAGACGGACCAGGGTCTATTTTCATCTTTTTGCGCCCTCGTGCGGAAAATCAATTGCGCCCTTTTTAAAAAAAATTGCGCCCTTTTTCATCAGCCTGAACATTTTGTTCAACTTGAAAAGAAAATTTACAATTGATTTTCATTCTCTTATTGCCAGGGGGTTTGTAGATTGAAACACAAGCACACTAGCGCCGCAGTTTGCCCTACGATATCATATACAGCACGCTGCAGAACTATTCATTCAGTATTAATCATGCAGCTCAACTGTCAATCTGTAATCCCCCTGCTTATTGCACAATGCACATTGCATTGGAAAGTGCAACAAAACTATAAAAATATGGATATTGGAAATAATAATATCTCCTAAGGACTTAACATTGTCATTAATGAATTTGTGCATATCCGAACCATATTGAGGTCTCGCAGAAAAAATACAATGCACAGCGAAGGATGGGAGCGCCTCAAAACTATATGATTAGTGCTTTGAAACGCTCTTCCGACGATATTTTGAGGATTGCACTTTGGAGCGCTCTTCATAAAATTCCGAACACTCACACTCATTTTATTTAGGTGTATAAGTCCCTGCTATATAGCTGCTTATAATGTTTGATTTACGAATTCAAAACTGTTTTTATTTAAGGGTTAACCATACACTCCATTTCTAAACACAAAATTCAGTCGAAATAACATAAAATTTAGTCACAGTAATGGGTTGAACAGAATGTATATTTTTGGCTATCTCTTACTTTGAATGCCATTTTTTCTTGGACCAAAGACTTAATGAGTCAAAGAGCAAACAGAATAGTGTTTTGTTCGTGTGCTCTCAAATTGTTGCGCCCTGTTTTTAGGTCTTGTATTGGGCTCTCGAGCGCCTTTGGC